CCTGTGCCAGGCTGGGGTCCCTTCCCCCCCACCTCTGAACAGCTCTGTGTGTTTGCATCAAACAGGTGCTGAGTGCACCCTCAGGTGCTGAGGCCTCCTGAGAAGTACATGAGGGGAAGGTTGTACGGGCTCGTTCCTCCTGAGGGAGTACCTCAGCCCCGCCACAGTCACCACGCATCTCCCACGAGCGAGGTGGCTCACATTTGTTAGGCTGAGGATAAAGATGGGAACCAAAACATGAAACGATAACTGACGTTAACCAGACTATTGCTGCTGTAGGTGTTTTTTGTAAAGCCCTACCCTTATTTAAAGTTAAAAGTTTTGTAATCTTCTAAGTTTAAAAATAACTACAGAAAATAAGAAACAGGATTTTGGATAATGTGTTCTTGCTTCGTAAGAAGGATGTAGCTCAGAGAGCGATGAATCGTAAGAATGGCTAACGAGCTATGAAATGCTGCCAAGATTGCCAAAAGAAACAGGTAACTCAGGGAAAGGTAACTCCGGCAGCAGGAGATCCCGACCACCAACCCACAGACCACCTACCCCAGTTACAGCCCAGACTCCAAAGATGGAGAAACTGCACACACGCACTAATTCACATGCTGGACGAAGAGACTTTAACCAATCATTTAATAGAATAACAATGCATATGCATTAGGAAGATCAATATGGTAACGATAAGTGTATAAATGAGTGTTGACTTGTGAACGAGGTGTGCTGTCCTGGGACAGACACCCATATCTACACAAGTACGCAGTAAAATATCTCTGCTCTGTGTGTACCTTGGCGTATTGCACATGGGGTAAACGAACCCCCAGTTTTGGGACAACATATTCAGTACAGGGACAGAGAAAAAACTAAACGTGGATCAGATGCCAACAACCAGAAAAGCCAGAAGAATGTGCTAGTCCTAAGAACAAGGCAACAGGATGGTCAAAGGCTGCACTAAACTTCAGGAAGGCTGTACGATGAAGCAGAGCCAATGGTGAGCAAGAGCAGGGGAAAGCTCTGGCGTAGAACCACAGCCGCAGGCCAAATCCAGAGTTACAACAAAGCAAGGAAGGGAGAAACAAGCAGCCTGAACTCAGGACCAAGAAACCTGTATCACAAACTATCAAGCCTGCCTTCAAGATAAACCCCAATTAGGACCAGAAACACAGTGAGCAGCTAAGAGCAGATGGGTGGGGGAGCAGGCAGTAAGACCAAGAGGCCAGCCTGGGGAGTCTGCTGGGAGACTTGATAGGGGCCAGGTGGCTGACTGTAGATATCCATGGCCTTGAACTCAATTCAACGTTTTGGAAAATCATTGAAAACATGTGCAGGACATCTGTGGCCATGAGACACATGAGAAGGAGGGCTTGATCTAACAGAAAACTCACTTTTTTTGCTTCTAGACTTATAACTTGGTCTGTTTCCCTGATGTAATTCACCACAAGGCCACATGAATGCTTACGTTTCCCCAAGGCTGTAGAAGACAGGGAAAGGTGGTCTGCAAGCTGCAGCACCTGTTTATTGTGGCTTACATTACTCAAGACTTAATGTCAGGTAGAGAGAGAAAAATATGTCACATACAGAGAAAGGTTCTTATATTTAATAATTTTTAACACAGTAATGCTTCAAATAACTTCTGTGGATCTCTGAGGATGACAGGTATTCAGGAATTGAGGGTTTAGAAGGAATAAAGATATATATGGTGTGTATTCTGGCAAACTGTAAGCATTTTTGGTACCATACCTCAAATTTTGCTGATGGGTCTTCATACTGCAGAGCTATGTTCAACTGTCTGCATCTCACTGAGTCACCTCTTAGAGATAATTCGGCACAACATCGTTCAGGCCATTTTAAACTCTATCCAAACTAAAAAAGCTGGCTACAACTTAGAAGAGCAACAAATCTGGCATAAATGCTAATTTAAGGGTAGGCAGGAACAAGCTGTTTTCATTACCATTTCAGAAAGCATTTCTGGCATGAAATCCCAGCCCCACTGAAATTTGGAGGGCTTTTGTTGGTCCGGCCCAGATTCTAGCTGTGAAGATTGTTTCACTGTAAGTGCCCTATACGAAGCATATTTGGGCTTTTGAGAGTGCTTCCCACCCTCAAATCTAGCACCAGCCATCTCCGTTAGTCACTGCTGCTCAACCACCACCATAACAGACTTACAATGCATCACATGGACTGCATGAAGCTTATGCAGTGGCCTTTCAGTCTCCTGACGGATTGCTACTCTTAAATCCTTTCCCAACAGACCCCCCTTCTGGTTCCAAGATCTCCCACACACGGCACAGCTCATCCAGCAGCCGTCCGGCTGCATCGCACCAAAAAACGTTGGCAGTGCGGGCACTAGCTGAGAAACACACCTTGCCCTGTTGCTGCAAAACTAAACCAGCCTACGCAATCCAAAATGGGGACGTTCCCATTGCACGGCCTAAAGAAGGACACACGACGATGCTCAGAAAGTCATGTTTTGGGTTAAAAGGAAGATGCAGTTTTGATTATCTGCATGAGATAACCTAATTACGAATAGCCTGGCCATTGTAACTTTTCACTGTTACTAGCCCTAAAAGCAGACAAAAGCTATCCAGCACATTCAGTGTATAACACAAAAAAAGACAAAAGTGCAAACATCAAAGTAAGACATGTCCTGCTCCATGAGACAAATGAGGAAACTTAACCAGTCACCTGGGAAATACAGAGGAGATAAAGGAAACATTCAAAAAGGTCTTAACATTTTATTACTCTTTCTTGTAACTCTGGGTTTTATGCTATATAGGCCTTGACTGACAAAACTAAAATCTACAAGTATTTGCAGTGTTAAGTATTGTGTCTTTGAAAACATGTACATGTGCTAATGTATCCCTGTATAGACATAGGTGCATTCACTGCATTCAAACAAAGGGTCATGGATGCATCTTCACATAGAAGTTTTAAATATACTGTAGCTAAGTGTTCTTGTTTGGAGGAAAACTAAAAATCACCTTCCTGAAACTGCTATACTTCAAGAAGAGTGTTCGGGTTACAACAATAGCTTTTGAATTTTAGTGAGAAGACCTAATTCTCAATACCTGAGGATTTAAATCACATTTTACAAAGTACATTTCAAACACTATTCAGGACTGTGAGGTGTTTGTAACAGTTGTTGAGTAGGCCGATACAAAAATCTGACCCTGTTCACTAAGGTAAATTATGCAGGGTGTAGAATGCGATATCTGCATTTACCAAAACACACAATGATGCAAAATGTGCTTCATTACTTTGTAGTCTCTAGCAAATACTACTAGACCCCTTCGAAAATGTAATCATAATTGACATGATATACTGTATTAAGCTGGGCAAAGGTGAAATGTAATTTTTTAAATTACAGAATCAGTCATGTTACAGTAGCTCACAAAGATATCTCTGCACAGGCAGTTGCACTTTCCTCATTGTCCTTCGCCATGAAGTTTAACTAGTTAAGAGAGCAAATATAGTTAATGAGTCATTTTTATGGCATAGGTTATTTACAAAGACCCATCATTAAATGAATACATTTACAAGTATTGCTTGCTCAATTACCAACGCTGTTCCAAAAATTTAAGTCACACCCAGACGTTGGGTGTAACTATATGATGTCAATCAATTTACCTTTTTCACTGAAAACACACAACCAGGAATATCATTCCCACTTTGTTCTGGCCAAAAATACGACTAAGATCTGCTGTTGAAGATAATTATGTAATTGCACGACCTTTACCTCAGCACACGTGACGGTGGAAGAACAGAACATCTTAGTGCTCTGATCTTGCAACCGCTAAAGTGAGATTTCTCATTTTAATCGTGCACTTTGTTCCACTCAAACCAGAGCCTCCATCCTCCGACACGCCCCTGTGATGGGTTATGACTGCCGGTGCACCTCAGGCCGACCTGACTGCGACCACCACCCACCCGGCCAGCTCCGCTACCGGGGTGCAGCTCCGCGCGCCCAAGGCGCGCCCGCTGCCTTCTTTTCCCCTCGAGAAGCAAAGGAGGGAAACGAACCGCATTCTACTGCCGCTGTCGTCGTTACTGCTGGGCGAACCTCAGGGGAAAACGCGGGCTCCCGTGAGAGCCAGCGCTGAGCCTGCGTCGTTAATAAAGTCCCACAGCTCCAGTTAACGCCCAAAATGTAACTCCCTGCCTGAACCAACGCCCGCAACAACCACAAAACCAGTCCTCCCCGCTGCAGCCTCCCCCCTGCCCTCTTCACCCCGCCTGGCGTCCTAATGGAAGCGACGAGGGAACGCCCACGGGGGAAAGCTACCGCCTCCCTTCCCCCCCGCACACCCGGAGCTGTAACCAACCCTCGGCCCAGCCCCGGCGCTGAGGACGGGCCCCACGGCCTGCTCGGTCCAGGAGCCCGACCCGGGTTCCCCTCGCGGCCAGCACCTCCGAGCGAACCCACCCTCCATTTTCCGGTCCGTCATGCCCCGCCCCCCCTCTAGCCC